CCTGAGGTCAGAATTTCCCAGCTCTTCTCCCAGCTGTAGTCTTCAGTCAGCTTTTCCCCTTTGGTCCCTTTACTCACTTTTCCCACTAGTAAACCAGAAGAGTTTAACTCTACCCTGCTACAGTTTCACAAAACTCCTCTCTAAGATCACCTCCCTCCAACTGAGCTCTAGTAGCCTTTTACCAGACCTAGGTGCTTGTTAGTCAATTAGCTGCATGGGTGGGCTGGCTGGCTGGCAGTTAATTGCTTACCGGTCAGCAGAGATGGGCTTGTTCTCCTTAAAAAAAGCCCTTCACAAGTGGACTGGGTCCTGACTCCCCTTAAAGGGACCAGCCACAAAAGGTCAAAAAATGCTTCTCAGTTCTAATATCCAGGCAGCTAAAGCAATGCCCTGACTTTTACAAGTGCTGAGCACCCAGCAGCTCCCACTGACTTCAAATCAACTTCCACTTTAAGTGAATGGGAGCTGCTAGGTCCTCAACACTTTTAAAAATTGGGACACTCAATAGGAGTTTAGGTTTCTAACTTTAGGTACCTATTTTGCAACATCTTAATGTGAGATTGCACATCCATGAAAGTGCTTAGGTGCCACTGCAATCCACAAAACTCTCTTGGCTGCTGCCTAACCTTGTAGGTGCCTAACCTCACTTGGTGCATAAGTTTTTGCCTCTGGACATGCCTATTGCAGCCTCACTCTATGTGCCTGGGCCCTTATCTCCTGCCTGAGCCCAAGAACAGCTCACAAAGCAGGGGAAAATAAGCATTCAGCTGTCTAAGTCACCTGCTGGGGGCCAATTAGCTTGCCTATTGCATCAGAACCCTCAGAAAAGTTCACACAAAACAGCTTGTGAAGTGGTAGGGGGAAGAGGCCCTCCCTTATAACCCTTAGCCTAGTGGACAGAGTACTAACCCAGGATGTAGGAGCCTTTTGGTTCAAGTCCCACCAAAGGGGAGAAGGGATTACAACAGGGCTCTGGCATCTGTCAGATGAGTACGCTAAGCTGTGGGATACTCTAATATGGGTCTCCCCTATTGAAGTTATCCCACTTTTAAACAAACAACTGATTAATTAAACTGACTCAAATATTCAAAGCTCACTGAAGAAAAATGGTGCTGTGCTGCTCTTAAATGTAAAGATAAATACCCGGTGTTCTGACAAGAAAAATCCTGTTTGGTTCAGTACCCAAAGCAGCAGAAAATTATAGCATGAAGAGGCCTCTAATTATCACTAAATACTGTAGTGTGTTAGAAAGGGCAGGCATGTCTCCTTAGGACACACTTGGGTTTGGACAGTATTCATCTGAAAAAGTTCTCTCACTCTAAAAGCACATTTAATTGATAGTAAAAATCTCTCCTTTTCAGAGTAAAGGACTGAAATGTCTGCTTAAATGTTTGTATAAATTTTATAGGAACATAAGAGTGGCCATACTGGGTCAGACCAAATGTCCATCTAGCCCAGCTTCCTGTCTTCCAACAGTGGCCAATGCCAGGTGCTCCAGAGGGAATGAATAGAACAGATAATCATCAAGTGATCTATCTCCTGTCATCCATTCCCAGCTTCTGGCAAACAGAAGCTAAGGACACCATCCCTGCCCATCCTGGCTAATAGCCATTGATGGACGTATCCTTCATGAATTTATCTAGTTCTTTTTTTGAACCTGTTATCGTCTTGGCCTTCACAACATCCTCTGGCAAGGAGTTCCACAGGCTGACTGTGCATTGTGTGAAGAAATACTTCCTTTTGTCTGTTTTAAACCTGCTGCCTATTATGTTTCAACTGAACCCAGAATACACAATATTTTCATTACCAGTTTCAAATGACAATCACGAGTTGTTGTATGTAGTGTAGTTGTAGCCATGTCAGTCCAATGATATTAGAGAGACAAGGTGGGCGAGATAATATATTTTATTGGACCAACTTCTGTTGGTGAGAGAGACACACTTTCGAGCCAGACAGAGCTCTTCTTGAGGTCTGGGAAAGATACTCAGAGCGTCATAACTAAAGAAGATGGAACAGATTGTTTAGCATAAGTGGGTAGCACATATTCTAAAGGAGCATTCAAGGTACAGTGGCCTGTTAATACCTCTGCAGTCACAGGACAAAAAGTTCAGGTTAGTGGGTTACAGATTGTTGTAACAAAACAAAAATACAGTGTTTCTGTTCAGTCCATGATTTTTAGTGTCTAGCAGAGTTACCTTGAATGGTCCCTTACAATATGTGTTATCTACTTATGCTAAACAATCTGTTCCATCTTGCATTTAGCTGTGATGCTCGGAGTACCTTTCCTAGACCCGAAGAAGAGCTTTCTGGCTTGAAAGCTTGTGTCTCACCAACGGAAGTTGGTCCAACAAAAGATATTGCCTCACCCACCTTGTCTCTCTAATCAGGACTTGTAACAGACATCAGTGCATCCATTTGATTCTCAAAATTTTTGCTGTTTAAAAATGAAAAAAAAAATGTCCACAAGAACTATTAATCACTGATGTTCAAAACCGATAAAACCCCATCGAAGTCAGCCTAGTCAGTAAAGATTATTCCAATTAAGAGGAGCCTGATTGTCAAAGGGGCTGAACACCCACCGCTCCTACTGAATTCATTTTCAGTGGTGACTAGTCTGCACTTCTGCGAAACAGGTTCTAAGCCTTTTGTGGTCACAGCTGAACTCTTCTGCTGTTTTTATAAATAACTTCTTGCTCATGGCTTTCATAAGCAGAAAATCAAGTAACAAGCATAACAAGGGGTGGCGTGGTGGAGGAAGCAGAGAAGAAATGGTAGCACCTTCAGATTTTTTTTTCCCCGCTCATAATTTATATTTTGCTACCAAGAACAAAGCCTAATAAGGGTAACATGTCCTGACTGTGCAGTAGCACCTTTCACAAGAGCTATCGCCAACCCCCTGCCTCACACACAGCCACACCCTAACAGCCAGGGAGCATACGGCCATGTTCCATACAGGTTATTTTTCGTGAAATACATTAGATCAAGATTTAGTCCTCACATCTAGTCTGCTGACTTCATTTACACATGATTTTTGCTTGAAAACTACAAAACATCAAGCCATTTGACAACAGCACCACCTGCTGGGTAGTCAGAGAAACAAGCAGCACCACCTCATACTCGTAACAAGGGAAGTACTGATAAGACAGGCCTGCTCCAGCTTCAATCAGGCAAAGATTATTCTCCTAGCCCATAACTTTAATCACATCACCCCTCTCTCTTTGCATCCCTCTACTGCAGGACTCCTCCTCCTCGCTCGTCCTGCTGGGGAGCAGCTCCCTGCAAACAGCTGAAACTAGCACATTATCCTCCTTCAAACTTTCCCTTACCACTAAGCTGCTGGTGCGCTGATGCCACAACCATACCATGCCAGCCTGTACTGTCTCATTGCTTTCTTGTAGACGCCTGTCTGTCTCCATCTGTTGCCTCTTGTCTTACACTCAGATTGCAAGCTCTTTGGGACAAGGATTGTATTTTTGTTCTGGGTTTGTACAGTGCTTAGCACAATGGTCTATGGCAGGGGTTCTCAAATTGGGGGTCGGGCCCCCTCAGGGGGTCACGAGGTTATTACAAGGGGGGGGTCGCAAGCTGTCAGGCTCCACCCCAAACGCCGCTTTGCCTCCAGCATTTATAATGGTGTTAAATATGTAAAAAAGTGTTTTTAATTTAAAAGGGAGGGTCGCACATAGAGGCTTGCGATGTGAAAGGGGTTACCAGAACAAAAGTTTGAGAACCACTGGTCTATGACTAGAGCCCCTAGAAGCTATGATAATACAAATAATTAATAAGGCTTTTCCTTTGCTCCCCCTTACCTCACCTGTGGAGACTATTTTCTGACGTGCTGATCGGGGAGTACTGCTTGCTCTTTATAACACAAGCTGTCTTCCGACTGGTGCTCAGCTCCATTCCCTAGCTATGTGAGCCAGCAGAGTCGGGAGTTTGGATGGTTGAACTGACCCAGAAAAGAGGCCAGACTGGCAATTTGCCAGAGTGCCATGCTCCCACACCAGTAAGAGCAGGGAGGGGTGAGGTAAGGATTGGTAGAGGACAAAGTGAGGAGAAAGCACGTCAGGGTAAATAAAATCTAGATGTCCTTCCAGCTCTTGGCATCAACCTCAAACCTCTGGGTACTGTTTGGCAGCTCTGACAGATGTCTGCATTTCAAAAGCAATCAACAAGGATTTTTTTCTGAAGGTACATCTACACAGGGATAAAAACTTTGCAGTTGGCCCACGTCAGCTGACTCAGGCTTGCGCTCCGAGCTGAAAAATTGCTATGTAGACATTCAGGCTTGGACTGGACCCTTCCCTTTTGCAGAGTTCCAGAGCATGGGCTCCAGCCCAAGCCTGAATATCTACACGGCAATTTTTCAGACCAGAGCCCAAATCCTGTGAGCCTGGGCCAGCTGCAGGTTTTTATCCTTGTGTAGATGTACCTTCAGAAAAAAACAAAACAAAAAACCAGAACCCATGCTAGAAGAGGTGGATGTTTTAATGAAATAAGAAGAGGTGTATTTTTGTTTGGTTTTAAAACTACACGAATTTTCCCTCTGACTTAGGTCACCTGCCATCTGTAGTAATTACGGTCAATCTTGCTTAACTTTGTAGGTTGGCTTTACTATTTGCGCAAGTACCTACACATCACTGGACATAAAGGAAACAATCTAGCCTGCATGAAAGATTTTTCCTCACTGAGCTCATCCTGTGTTCTCAAAGTAAAGCTGAGCTACCTCTATCTCAGACATAGTCTCCAACAACACACATTCTGCCGAACAAACGAGTCTCTCAGTGCCACCTGTGTAACTCCATTAGCTTGTAACGAGTGGTCTTTATCAGAGAAAATAAGGTTGATTTGACAGTGCAAGGTAGCTGGGGATTCAAGTTTCCATCTTTAAGAATAATTCTTCATTTTAACTGGAAAAAGAGCAGTACAACAAACAGTACTGGATTGATGACAATGCAATGAATTCTTCATACTTTCAAATAAATTATTTTACTCTGTGATCAGTGGGCAATAGTGCTCTTTATTAGAGTCACTGAACATTAAAACCAGTAATATTCTAGGTTCTATGGAATACAGCTGAGAAATCTAAAATGGTGAGAAATATAAATAAGAACATGAGCAAATATGAATGAAGTGCATTGATTTTCTTTTACATTTAAAATTCCTGGTAAATAGAAAACTTGCATACTTAAATCACATTATTAAAGAAATTAACAGTAGTTTAAATATATATGCAATTATGATAATAAACCATACTTTACTTTAGGGTATTTAAATTTGTTTCATAAGTACTAAGCCTTTTATGTCACATGAGTGGCAAAATTCTACCCTGCTTTATATATTTTGGAAACTCCAATAATTCCAGTGTTGCACAGTGTAAGACAGTGCACAATTTGACACTGTGCAACTGAATTTATTGTACCACTGAGAAGCATATCTGTCTAATAATAAGCATATCTCTGTCAACTTTAAAAGGAAAAGTGCAATACCCAGGAAACTCAGCATGAACGGTTTTGCAAGCATTTTCCATTATTATTCAGCTGCAGTAAATGTTCACACAAAACAAAATAAATTCTGTTGCCCTTTCTAATTCTTTGTACATCAATCCAACCAGGAACTGGAGAGACTCACATTCGGAAGCTAAAATCATCCCATGAGGAGTTACTTTGAAAGTAGAGTGGTTCACAAAATATTTACACTTCACAGTACCTAGAGGTGCTGTAGACCAGTCTGTATTCTATTATTGTTATATTGTATCACCAGCTGAGCCTGTAGGTACGAGGAAAAATTTTCTTGTGCAGATATTCTACTATCTCTCTGTTGTTATCTAAAGTCTCAAACTCAAAAAATGGAATCTGGAAGTTAAAGAGAGAAATGGTTGTGAGAAATTGCTTTAAATGAACAACTGCATTATAGTCAATATTCTTTAAGATTAACTTTCATAAAATGAAATTTTCGTGAATGAATAATTTCATGTCAAATTTTGTTAAGCTTTTAAAAATGCAAATTAAGCTTCCAATCTTGCAGCTGACTCCATGCAAGTGGACCCTATAGGGACTGCCTGAGTGTGGAGTTCATTGCAGAATCAGAGTCAATTACTAAAGTTGGGTGCATTGCACTAGCTGATTATAACAAATTCTCCATTTGCAAAATTTAAAAAAGGATTTTACTTCAATCCACACAGGAAAAAAGTCTTTCAGCAAAAATTAAATAAATATGAACAACAAGCAAAATAAAGAAAATGACCTAGTTGTGGGGATTCTATGAACAGAAAAGAGGCTTTATATGTATTCTTAGGAAAAAAAATAAAAATAACCACACACACCAAGAAACCCTTCACCTTTAAAAAAATCCCAGTTAAGGTCTTTTGAAAATAAAAAAAAAAAAGTGAGACATTTAGGTACAAATCCTAGTCTCACTGAACTCAAGTGACAAAACTTCCACTGAAGTCAATGGAACCAGGATTTGAATCTTAAAACAGTCATAGGAGCTGAGTGCTCTTGAAATTTGCAACTGGCAAGCAGAAAGAATGAATTAATAATAAAAAAGAAAAGGAAGACCAGAAGAAGAGACCAAGAAACAGAAGAGGTCACATAACCGGAGCAAGTCCACAACCAGCATGGGAAGTGTTTGCAGCAGTAGCTTTAACCTTTATTATAAATTAGCCTTCAATCTTTTTCTAGCTAGAGAAGCACTAGCTGATAGCTTCAGCCCTTACCTGCACAACTTCATAACCAAGTAATTGCAAATGTCTTTGTTTAATAGCTTCTTTGCCTAGAAGACTGTGATTGTTGCTGCAAAACCTCTTTTGACCATCAATACACAGGGCTATTCTAAAATCAAACACAAAAGTGCATTTAAAAACAACGTTATCAATTATTAGACCTACTTTGTGGGCCCCAGGGAAGGGGGCAAAGGATACTGCCTCTTCCCCACACCCTTTTAGAGCACATAGTCCCTCACGGAGTCAGAGCAGAGGGGCTGCTACTATGATTGGCCCCTCCCAGGGTAGAGTGATTTAAATCAAGCAATTTAAACAATTTGATTTTTTGTTAAATCATGTATTTAAATCAGGTTGAAACTTTCTAAAATTAATTTGAAAAAATTTTATATAGCAATTTTACATTAAAATATATAATGAATCAAATTACCTAAATTGTTTATTTGTAATGCCACTATTGGTGTGGTATCTTATTTGAATCTTACAAAACTGATACAGGTAAAAACAAAATACTGAAAACAAGAGTCTGATCCTGCAAACACTTATGCAGGTAGCTTTACTTATATGAATGTTACTTAAAGTTAAGCATGTGTATAAGGTTTGCAGCATCAAGGCCAAAAACTGTATTTTGATTAAAAATGTCTCTCAATGGCATAAAACCTTTGTCATTCCAAAGCAAAATTTGCCTCATCTTTCACAATGTGCAGTTTTCAATAAATTAAAAGTTATTGTGAACATAGGCCAAACTTTTTGAAAGTAAGAGGCTATGTTTAAGCTCCTAACCCCACATTTAGACAACTATAGGTGCGATTTTCAAAACTACCTATATGACTTAGGAGCACAAGTCCCACAGATATCAGACTGAAAATTGTGATGGAGGAGTACAGCCTGGTCAAAGCATTCAGCTTCCTTGACTTATGAAAGTCCAATAGCAAATATAGTATAAATTCCTTGCTCATCAATTTAGTCACTGAGGTTGTGCTGGTCTCACATGAAGTATGTTAATAAGGCCCTGGACTTAACTTTTTCAGCACAGATGACATTTTAAAGGTGAAATTAATTAATAGAAAAAAGATCTTTATGTAAAATCTGAAATTTTACAATTAGGAAACTAAAGAAACAAGTACCAAACATCCACTTTAGCAACTTAAAAGTATAAAATGGTAAGAAAACAAACAACTAATAAAGAAAGTAAAATAATTAGATTTTAATTTTCTAATAAATAAATAAATAAAAATTGTGTTATCCATTCTGGCTCCTACATAGTGAAGAGTGAATTCCTCGTCTGTCCCTCATCACCACTCACAATGTGGCTTTTTTATGTGATACATTGCAAGTCAAGGTTTTAAGATACCCAGGGTATAAATCTGGCTTCACTGCAAACCTCCCATTGACTTCAATCGGGCCAGAATTTCACCCTGAATATTGCCATTTTTGTCAATTTAATGTAATCTCACAGTCTGATGGTCTTTGCCTCTAGTGTTTGTAGTTCTCTTACCTCCTGTGCACCTCCTCATATCGGGTGGCAGGTAATACAAAGCCTTCTTCATCTAATTTAATCTCAACATCTGGGTTGGGGGAGGGACGAGTGGGAAAGAAAAACAAATGCTTTCATACAATATACACTGCTTACTGTAATTGTATTAATATTTTTCCCTGAGGGACGGACACTCCCCAAGAACGAACGTAGCTTTCTATTGCAAATTACATCTATCCATGTGCCCGTCTAAAAAGCAGTTAAGAAGAAAGAGGCGGTTAATGATTAAAGAATAAACAAGGCAGACAAACATATGGAAAATATTTCTAAAAAAGACATAAGTAAATTATGCAACTGCTGGGTATGTATAATCTGGGCAGCCAGCAATTACCACGGACAACCTAGACCTTCAGTTTGCCAAGATTTTAATCAAGGAATGATTCTTTGGCTTCATGCACACTTGAAGTGGAGAATTTTCTGACATTCAAGACAAGATAGTGGCATATCTTCATTTTTCCATAGCTGTATTGCCTACAATGTAAGTGCATAACACTGCATGCACCTAGTAACTTCCTTTCTAGATCTCATTTTAACCACTCCACCAACTTCTTAATAAAATATCCTTTCCACCCGAAAGTTTAAAATGAGTGGACTCCTGCTAAATAAAATTTATGTGTGCACATGCAAATCTGAGCTTACCTTTCCCTGCCTGACAAGACATTTTGGAGATGGTTTAAAACAAAATTTATTTTTTTTAAAACAAAACAAAAAATCTCTATTTTTCAGTTTTCTTTTTCTGCACTGTGCCATGAGTCAGTTAAAGAACTTTGAATTTCAAACTATGACATTTTGATAACACTGCTTTTTAAAAAGGTTTATAGCATTAATTTTGTCTGATTTTTTTTTTTTTGGTCTGAGAGATCACAATATACATTTAACAAATAAGAATATATTAAACTGCACATTTTCTGTATTGCATAGAAAGAGCTGGGAGGTAACTGTAACTGCTGGCCATCACACCTGTTCACAGCCTTCAAAGAGAAAGCAAAGCGCAGCTGCTGGCCTGTTTCGGCAGTATGGCTTGCTGTGACTATCAGTGTAGGCAGAAAAATGTGCAGCCTGGAAAAATCCTAGACAGGAGGGAAGGAGACATGGGTCTCTACTCCAAAGAGGTGATGGCTGAGGAGCTGCGAGACTAAAATGGGTACCTTTCGTGGACCACGGAGAGGGAATACAGGTGCAGTTGCTCTAAACTGTGACAACAAGATGCAAAGTTCCGCTACTATAATATTACTTGTGACACTGGTAGGCCAAGTGCCAGCTCATGCCAAGGCCCAGCTCATGCCAAGGCCCCAAGCCCCACTGAACACTTAAAAATGCATAGCTAGAAACCAGTCTTGCTTTCCTGTGTGTTAGCATTATCAAAATAGATATTAGATGGTAAATTGATAAGAATGTGCTTAGACTTTATAAAATGCTTGTAATATGTTGCATATACTGATCTCACTTATAACCTTTATAGCCCATGGTATAAAGTTACACTGAGCGTTTGCATTGTAAACCTCTATAATTTTGTAACTCGCCAAATAGGACATACAGCACTGATTAAGGTAAAGTGCTTGTCCATGGCCACTGAAGGCAAATTAAGCATTGTGTAGCATCGAAGGATTACTGACTGCACTCCTAATTTCCTCCAGGAAGGAGAGACCTCATCCCATGAACTCATCCCATCAGTTTGAACTCTGGAGTGGAGGGGATAAAAATCCCTGACAAGGAGAAACTGAATCTCTCTTTCATCCTGTTTAGACTGAGGGGCAGATATTCCTAAACATAAGCAAAGAGATCCCCATGCTACTTGGTAGGGGTTAGCCCCAAAGATGCTTTGAATTGACCGATTACTATAACTCTATCACCTTTTGAATCAGAGACTGAAACTCACTTTTGTATATGCTTTCTTGCTTTAACCTGTAAATAACTCTGATTTCTTTTTCCTAGTTAATAAACTTTTAGTTAGTTACCAACGTTGTTTTTGGTGTGAGATCTAAGGAACAAACTGATCTGGGATAAGTGACTCGTCTCTTGGGACTGGAAGCAAACTGAGTATTTTGTGATTTTTGTTGTAAGTGACCATTTGCCACATAGTCCAGCTTGCCTGGGTGGCAAGACAGACTGGAATGTCTAAGGGGACTGTCTGTGACTCCATTAGCAAACTATGGTTGTACTTTGGGAATTCACATTTGTTATTGGGTTGGTGACATCTAATTACAGATCACACCACCAGTTTGGGGTGTCTGCCCTGCTTTTTGACAGTCTGCCCTGAAATTGGTACTCTCAGTCTTGAGCCACTCCAGACAGTGTGACAATAATCATAGAATCAGAGAAGTGTAGGTCTGGAAGGGACCTCAATAGGTCCAGTCACCTCTACCTTAAAAAATGACATCACCACTCACCTAATGTATAGCAATATGGTGTCAACACATGAGAAGCAAAATACATTCTTGTTCCTAGCAGATCAACTAGTCCAGTCTTCACCCTGTTGTAGAGGTGAACGTCCACAGAGGACTCCAGTGAACGGCCTGGTATGAGAAAGGACTTTACTCGATACTTTGGAAGGAGTTTAGGACCCTATCAAAAGAGCAAAGAAAAGGAAATACTCATAAAATTTCACTTAGCAAGAAAAAAGATAAAATCTAAGCCTCTATCTGCTCTGCTCTTACAGTTACCTCAGTAGCACATAGAAACATTTCCTACATATGCAGGTAATTAAGAAACTAAAAAATAATGGGGCGGGTAAGCTATTTTTTAATAGTTAGCAAGTGTATTATTGTAAAAGAGTGTACATAATGTGCTTTAGAATCTTGTTGAATCAGGACCCTAACAAACAGGATGCAAATACTACACCAAACTAAAACAACAGAAACACTTCAAGCAAGACTCTTATTATATGTTCAAATATATATTCATCCACCATCAGCCTCAAGGATGGCCTAGGCTAGTCCACACTACAGGCTGCAAGGAGACAAGCCTGAAGGGTTCAATTTCCCAGTGGAGCTGCTTGGTGAATCACAGGAGCTTGTGTTACCTTCTATATCCTCTCATACCAAAGAAAAAAAACAAAGGGAAATGTCTTCTATGCACAGCTCAGTGCAATGGGTGAGTTCACTCCCAATGGATGTCGTTTGAGATCCCTGCTGTCTGAGTCATGGTAACTACACCTGCCAGATGTGCTTGGTTTCCAGTCCTCCTGACTTCCTGTCAGTTACAGGTGAGTCCCAGAATTCTGTAGCTCCAACACTAACATCAGCTCTGCCCTGTCCCTCCAGACCCAGGCACAGGAAACAAGGAGAAAAAGACAACACTGCTGTTAGACTCTTACAACTGGGCCAGACAACACTTTACTTTCCTGTGGAAAGTAAAGAAATTAGGCAAGAGTGATTTGCCAGCATTTTACATAGCCAGAAATTGAGAGAAGAGAAGAGAAGAGAAGAGAAGAGAAGAGGGTATCCCATGACTCAGATGTTCCTCCCACTAGACAAAAAATGCTAGCTCCTCCACTGGGCTTTCCTATGGGATAGGAAAAATAAAGACTCCATCTTTCTCATCATAAAGTTCTTCATAAAGACCTAATTCTTAAGGTCCTCCATACCTAAAGCAGGATTTCATTTATGGTCCAAAGAGTTTGTCACTTCCTCATCCCCAACACCTACAACTACAGGCTTTATAACATATCTCAGGCTAAGGGAAGCAGTCCCCTCATCACAGTGCCCCCTTTCTCACCAGCCTTTGTATATTATATTGAATTTCTATGGATTAAAGTGTGAGAAGCAGGACAGCTGTTTCTTATGTAGTGGTTGTGAGAGAAACCATAAGAACCTGACCCTGTGAGATGCTGCATACCCTCAACCCCCAGGGGTGTGGATATCACTCAGCATCTCGCACCATCAGGCCATTAAAAGGGTAGACCAAGCCTTTCCTCCAAAAAGTTTGTTTTGATGAATTAGCATTTTCCTGCCAATAAATGTTTTGTCAGACAAACTGCCAGCCAGAGTAGGTTAAGTTTCTTTTACACATTTTTGAAATCCTTGCCAATAACCCTTCCCTCTGCAACCAGACAGATTCCACTGTATGACCTCACACTGGGATTTTTTTTTTAAATGGCTGCATATGGTGCATTGTATGTAACTGGTTGTGCAGAGAACAGAAAAATAAAGTAGGACAAGCTCATTGTCTCACAATTTTAATCATGAAAAGAGACCTATATATCTATATCAGAGGTCTCGAAACTGTGGGGGGCAGAGGAATGTTCATGGAGGGTGCAACAGGGCCTGGGCCTGCCCCCACAGGGGGCAGGGAGGAAGTGCCACCCAGCCCCACTCCCAATTCTACTTCAGCCTTGCCTGCAGCTCCCGGCCCCTGACCGTGCCTCTGCCCCAGTACTGGCCCCAGCCTTGGCCCTGGGCCGCAGCTCCATTCCCCCCTCCTCCAGAGCCACGGTCCCACTCCTGGCCCAGGGGGTGAAGGAGGGGCAGACAGGGACAAGGGGGGGGCATTAACCTGAAAAGTTTAGGGACCACTGGTCTATATTATGTTGCTTCAGAAGGAACAATTATGCAATGATTACTATGTGGACTAAAAAAATCCCAAACAATATTTCAACTTATATCTACTACCTCATAGAAGGGACACTCCAAGGTAACTGTTAAAAAGAGCTGGGTCAGCTGGGAGAGGACAAATCTATCCAAACCTGGTGTTTGAGCTGAAACAAAAAGATTCAGACATTCAGTACAGATGTGTGTTCAACAAGAATTCCCATGCAAGTCATTGTACAAAGGGGAGTTGTTTTTAAAGAAACATTCATAAAAGCTGCTTTATCCTGAATCATTAACAGAACATGCACATAAACTTAAAAGTTACATATAAAAATCAAATATTTGAAAATCATCTCTCTCACTTACTTATAGCTGTATTTTTAAATTTTGAAGAAAAATAAATATCTGGCAAGATCTGGGTTCTTCATGTTATCTTGCAAGATATCATGACATCAGAGAGGCACTGAGTTCCAGTGGATTAAACATGGGAAAGGAAGCCTCTTCCCACCCATCCCCACAATGTGTGATTCATTTTCCCGATCTGTAAGCCGAGGATAGTATTTACTAATTTCTGAGGATCAGCTGGTTAAAGTTTATGGAACACTTTTAAAATACGAAGGTGCTAAGTATTATTATTTAATCAGAAACAGCTAAAGCAGGGAAGGAGCCTATCTTTCTGCTCTCCTTTCGAAATTTCTGTCTCTAAACTTCGTACAGGCACCTTCAACTTCCTGATCCCCTCTTCTTCAGTTAGCTCCAACAGCTGATTGTGGAGTTTGAGACACATAGGTTGGCAAGGAGCTGGTATGAGAGAAGCTAATATACAGAGTACCAGAGACACAGATGAACTTAGTTCCCTTACCCTGCAGCTGTTGAAGAAAATAGGGGTTAAATATTTTTGCCAGAAAGTTTACTGGGTAACGCTCAATAAGGGTGCATGAGTGGAGCAGATTCAGCAGGGTGTGAGGCTGAAACTGAGTAAAGCGAGCATTTAGTATCCTTTCAAGTTTTCTGAAGACAGAGGGAGCACTTGGTGGTAGGTAATTGAGTGTCCCAAATGGAACAATATACTCAGCAATCTGTCTGGTGGTGCATTTGTCGGCATTATAAGCAAAACTTTCTGCCACTGCATCAAAGATGGGCTTAGAACGGATCAGCTTTCTGCAGCAGTATTGCATGACTTTGCTGACTGCTTCCGGGTGCAAGGTGAAGGAGGATTTGGGAACAAGCCTTTCCAGTGCTTCTGTGAAGAATTGGTCAGCATGTCCAAAGTGTATGAAAGCTCCCAGCACATTTGCTAGTTCATCATTTGTGAATCGAGGGACATGCCTCACTGAATACTTACATAGTCTTATTACTAAAGGAATTGCCTGAGTTTGGTCAAGAATAACCAGTGCATTCAGTATTCTGCTTATCAATTTAGGGCTTAGTTGGGGAACTAAGGTTAAAGTGATATTGTTCATGTGGTTTAACAAGTCTTGGTATTGTCCTTCTTCTGTAATACTCATCTGCAGCATTCCATAAACCATTGCTATTTCCTCAGTGGTCCATTCTTCAAGCTTTTTTCCTTGTACTTGGTTCACAATTTGTTCTAGCATTGTACAACCTGGGCCTTCCAAATCAAGCAAGCTTTCTCCAAGAATACACAGGTTTCTAATGGTTAATTGTCCCTTATCAAGCCGTTCCTGGCTCTCTGATACCAAACGCACAATCAAAGTACTCCAGGGATCTACACGCAACTTTATCAAAGCCTGCAATGCAGTCACGAGACCAGTGTCTGACAGCTTTTGTGATTCATGTTCAAACTGAAAGCATAATGCCCTGAAGACTTCATTCTCCAATATGTCTTTGGGATTCTTCAATCCACTGTCATCCACTTCAAATTCACAGATTCTCTGTAAAGCTGCTGCCGCCATGGTGTCGGATATAATTTCTAAAGAACTCAGAAATTTAAAAATCTCATTGGATGAACTGAAGCTGTTCAGCTCCATGAAAAATTTTTGTTCATCCATCCATTTGCCATCAGATTTAGAACTGTTCCCAGCATCTCTGTGAAGATGCACAGTTCCTGTAATGGAGTTAGGCTGGTTCCAGAGTTCTGCATGGTAGTTTCTATAAAACACACACCGAAACCTAACCCTTGAAAGTACTGTGCCAAAGACCGAGGAACCACAGCACCATGACCTTAGCTGTCTGCCTTGATCACTAAGGTGGTTCAAGGTTTTTCTTAGTGTTCCCAGGGATCTGCATGTGCGTACAGTAGAAGAATAAAACTGGAAACTCTGTAAGTTAATCAAAGCCATATCAGGTCAAGTATTCCCCTGGAAGTTGCCTACAGGAGGAAAAAAAGAAAGGGACATTATAGAGAAATGACAGTGTAACAGGAATATAGAAATTACTTTACCATATTAGACCAGTGGCCCATCTAGTCCAGATGCTTCAGAGGGAGGTGGAAGAAACCCTACAGAGGGCACTGAACAACCTGTCTATAGGATTTCTTCCTTGCTCCCTTAATGGTCTGTTTCCCAAAGACACCCCTCCTCCCATCAGAGAAAAATTATTTTGGTGTATTTTTTTCCCCAACTTGATTACTTTGCACACTTGACTGCAGAACATGTGTATAGTCAGTTAGATCCCAAGCCTATGGGTAGACCTGCTCAAGCACATGCCTATACCCAGGCAGTTACAGGATCAGGGCCTTAGTTACCTGCGCATACAGCAACAGAATAAAATAAAATAAAATAAAATAAAATAAAATAAAGACAACCTCATCCCATTCCTGCAGACACTTACATATCTACTTCACATTTACTTCACTTTAAGTATATGAGTTATTAGATTGACTTCAATGCTTATAGAGAAACATGTGTGAAAACATCTGCAGGATCATGGCTTCTCAATTAGAGGCCCTAAGAATTGGCATGGAAACTCAGGAGTAAGTGTAGTGCCGTACCTGAAACTACCTTTAACACTTATTAAAGTTGACTTGATTTCAAGTTCACACTGTTAATTTAAAACAGTAATTCTTGAACTATGCAAGAGTCCTATTATTGACAAGTATATTTTTTGAACTGCACATTGATAAATTATGTATTTAACATAAGAGTAGCCATACTTGGTCAGACCAAAGATCCATCTAGACTAGTATCCTGTCTTCCGACAGTGGCCAATGCCAGTTGCCCCAGAGAGAATGAACAGAACAGTTAATCATCAAGCGATCCATCCCCCGTTGCCCATTCCCAGCTTCTGGCAAACAGGCTAGGGACACCATCCCTGCGCATTCTGGCTAATAGCCATTGATGAACCTATCCTCCATGAACCTCTCTAGTTCTTTTTTTAGAACCGTGTATAGTCTTGGCCTTCACAACATCCTCCGGCAAGGAATTCCAGAGACTGAATTGTGCGTTGTGTGAAAAAATACTTCCTTTTGTTTGTTTTAAACCTGCGGAGTATTAATTTCATTTGTTGACCCCTAGGTTGTGTGTTATGAGACGGAGTAAATAGCACTTCCTTATTTACTTTCTCTACACCAGTCATGATTTTATAGACCTCAATCATATCCCCCATTAGTCATCTCTTTTCCAAGCTGAAAATTTCCAGTCTTCTCTCTTCTCAGATGGAAGCTGTTCCATACCCCTAATCATTTTTGTTGTCCTTTTCTGAACCTTTTCCAATTCCAATAGATCTTTTTTGAGATTGGGTAACCACATCTGCACGCAGTATTCAAGATGTGGATCTACCATGGATATAAACAGAGGCAATATGATATTTTCTGTCTTATTGTCTATCCCTTTCTTAATGATTCCCAACATTGTGTTAGCTTTTTTGACTGCTGCTACACTTTGAGTGGATGTTTTCAGAGGACTATCCACAATGACTCCAAGATCTCTTTCTTGAGTGGTAGCAGCTAATTTAGACCCCATCATTTTATATGTATAGTTGGGATTATGTTTTCCAATGTGCATTACTTTGCATTTATCAACACTGAATTTCATCTGCCACTTTGTTGCTCAGTCACCCAGTTCTGAGAGATCCTTTTGTAGCTCTTTGCAGTGTGCCTGGGACTTGCCTATCTTGAGTAGTTTTGTATCATCTGCAAACTTTGTCACTTCACTGTTTACCCCTTTTTCCAAACCATTTATGAATATCTTGAATAGGACTGGTACAGTTCAGATCTCTGAGGGATACTTGTATTTACCTCTCTCCATTCTGAAAACTAACCATTATTCCTACCCTTTGTTTCCAGTCTTTTAACCAGTTCCTGATCCATGAGAGGACCTTCCCTCTTATCCCATGACAGCTTACTTTGCTTAAGAGCCTTTGGTGAGGGACCTTGTCAAAGGATTTCTGAAAATCTAAGTACACTATATCCCCCTTGTGCACGTGTTTGTTGACCCCCTCAAAGAATTTTAGTAGTTTTGGTGAGGCATGATTTCCTTTTACAAAAACCATACTGACCCTTCCCCAAAAAATTATGTTCATCTATGTGTCTGACAATTTTGTTCTTTACTATAGTTTCAACCAGTCTGCCCGGTACTGAAGTCAGGCTTACCGGCCTGTAATTGCTGGGATCACCTCTGGAACCCTTTTTAAAAATTGGCATCACATTAGCTATCCTCCAGTCATTTGGTACAGAAGCGGATTTAAATGATAGGTTACAGACTACAGTTAGTAGTTCTGCAATTTCACATTTGAATTCCTTCAGAACTCGCGTGAATACCATCTGGTCCTGGCGAGGTATTACTGTTTAGTTTATCAATTTGTTCCAAAACCTTCTCTAATGACACCTCAATCTGGGACAGCTTCCTCAGATTTGTCACTTAAAAAGAAAGGCTCATGGTTGGGAATCTCCCTCACACCCCAGCTATGAAGACCAATGCAAAGAATTCATTTAGTTTCGCCGCAATGGCTTTATCATCCCTTAGTGCTCCTTTAGTATCTCGATTGTATAGTGGCCCCACTGGTTGTTTAGCAGGCTTCCTGCTTCTGATGTACTTACTTTTGGAGTCTTTGGCTAGCTGTTCTTCAAATTCTTTTTTAGTCTTCCTAATTATATTTTTACACTTCATTTGCCAGAGTTTATGCTCCTTTCTATTTTCCTCACTAGTATTTAAATTCCACTTTTTAAAGGATGCCTTCTTGCCTCTTAATACCATCCATATTCAACCAAATTAAGTTGTATAGCTACATTGACTCTGCTTTGAGTTAAACTAGCATGTAATCAGAAGGAAGTTTAGGAGAAGTATTTTTATTGCCCCCCTGCAAAGTTAGTAGGGAATCTACTTGGCATGCACATTAACTAAAAAGAGAGAGCAGTATGTCATTCACATTTCCCCAAACTTCTGCCTATTTGTCTGCCTGTCAATCTGTACTTAGACTGAATTCCTTGGAAAAGGGACCATTCCCTTTTTTCTGTTTGGAAAGCACCACGCCCTATAGCAGGTGCTACTTACACAACGAATAGTAATACAAATATTTACTCTGTGTGAAACTTCAAGCAGGCCTTTGAATCAGTCCCCCTTCCTCCCATTTTATAACATTAGTCTTAACACCTTTGAAAGACAGTCTAATTGTTCATAATGAAAACAAAAGAGTAAGGAGGCCTCAGCAAAGGTGTACTGATTTACAACAGCAAAGAATCTGGCCCTCTCAGTCCCAAGGTACAGATACCTCTCCCATAAAGAACATGTTACAGCTATGTGTAAAGGTACACTTCTCTGCACCTAGAGTTAACACTCCAGTAGTACATGATAATCTAATGAAGGACACAAAAACCCCTGATCCACAACTATACCCGTTCCTATATTTGTTTACACTTGTGCAATGGGGGTGCAAAATACTCTCCTTTTTTGGCAGCATTTTACATTCACTTTGGACAGGGGTAAATGACTACAAAAGGAGGGCAACAGTTAATCGGGATTGCTAGCAGAACGACTCCCAGTAGGAAGTGCTAGGTCTGGCAGCGTTTACAAGACAGCAACTATTTGCTAACTGGTGTTTACCACGTGAGACCCTTGGCTGTGAGCCACAGAGGACCAGTCTCCATTGCTAATTAAGGAAAAGAGCAAGAAGGCTACTACATTTTGTTATTTTTAGGTTTTAGAGCCCAAAGCGTTGTTAGACACGAATTATTCTTTCCGAAATGTTGTTTTAACCACTCGATCGCTCTTTAAAGAGCCAGTGACAGTTTCCACCAGAGCAGGGCTTTAGCACAACGTCCTTTGCCAATTTCCCACGTTTCCCTGGAGCCGGCTGCATTCCCCAGCGATCCGACAGGGAAAGGATCACACACCCGGGAAGGGCAGCCTCCCCTCACCGCTAGGAGCCTTCTGGCCCCGCTCCCTCCCACCCCCCGTGGCTGGCTTGAAAAACACGGCGGAGCTGCCCTGCTGCTGCCCCGCCGGGCTCCGTACCTGGGTGACGCAGCCCAGGTCGGGCTCCGAGCGGCGACCCCACGCGCAGTTCCCGCAACGCGCGTGAGCGCGGCCTCCTCTTCGATAAGACCCCGCCCCCTTCCGCCTGGCGTTCAGCGCCCTGACTTGGGCCAACCAGAGACTAACCCGGAGTGCCCGCCCCGCCCCGCCGGGTCGAGTCTCCGCCGGAAAGGGGGCGGGGCCGCTCCTGGCTCAACTCCGGGCAACGCTCTAGTTGGCTTCCGGGGCGCTCTTCCGTGCGGTGGCTGCGAGGGCGGCGTGACGGCCTCTGGGAGACAGGGCCGCGCGGAGCAGGTGAGGGGCCGGGCCGCGTCGTGCGGCGCGAGCGTGTTCGGAGCGGGGTAACCGTTGGCGGGCGGGCGGCCGCCCGGGTTGGGCGGCCCGTAGCTGCTCTGCGGGGGGCTGAACCCTGCGGGGGGGTCGCCGCCGCCGTCTCTGCTCAGCCGCCGGGCCTCGGCGCGATAAACCCGTGGCGCGAGATCACGGGAAACCTGGATCGGGTTAAAGAATTAAATCCCGTTTCCTGCCCGCCGGCGCCGGGACGAGACCGGCCCTACAGGTGAAACGGGGCGCAGCCTCCGCCTCCCTTCCCCTCAGTCCGCCGGTCTCCCGAGACTGGCCAGCAGGGGCGCCGCGTAGCGCCCGTTAACCTCGGGGAGCCGGGTTGCTCCTGAGCCGGGTGCCGCTCTACAGAGGTTAATACTCGGCTCCTTGTGCAGGCACCGACTCCGGGGCTGGAGCGACAGGCGCCAACTTTCCAGCGTGCCAGGGGGTGCTCAGTGCTCAACCCCGGGCTCTGCCACAGGCCCTGCCCCCACTCCCCCCCCTTCCCGCCCCCTCCCCTGGGCCTGCCGTGCCCCCTCCCCCTCCCCCTCGCCTCCTGCAGGTCATGAAACAGCTGATCGGGAGGTGCAGGGAGGGAGTGGGCGGGCTGCCCCTTGGTGGGAGGCGCTTCAGCACGTAAGGCTAAAATCACATATAGTCAAAATTACCCTTGAAAATCCCTTAAATTGCCCATAAAGTTCAGTATATTGTACATGGTTTTGTGTATACAACCCTGTACAGTAATATGTATAATGTATACAGTAATGTACAGTATATAATAAAGAGTACCTATGCAAACTATAATTTTACAGTACTGTATTTTGGGGGAGTGGGGCTTGATGGGGTAGGAGTCCAGGTGCAGCTGGTTGGGGCTCGGTGGGGTGAGGATGGGGGGCTTGTCGGGGGTCCAGGTGTAGAGGGGTAGGACTTGTCTGGGTGAGGGTTTGATGGGCCTGGTTAACAGGGGAGCCCCAGGTGCTGCCGAGGGGACTCTGCATGTTGGGCTCCTGCTTCCCCCTGGGATACCCCATCCCCAGCCCCCTTCCTCACTCCAGGGGTGCTGAAACAAGTTATATAGTGGGGGTGCTGAGAGCCATTGAACCAAACTGAAACCCTGTATATAATGGAAACCACTTCAAGCCAGGGGGTATGGCAGCACCCCCACATCCCTAGTTCCAGCACCTATGCCTCACTCCCACATTCCCCTCCCCCTGCCCTATTCCACCCCTTTCCTTCCCCACTGCCTCTTCCCCCCTCATCCCCCCCTTCCCTCATTTTCCCCCACCCTCCCTCACCCTGCCCCACTGCGGGCACTGGCTGTTGCACAGAAAACAGGAAGGTTCCCAGCACGCAGAAGGGGAGCACAACTGGCACTAGGACCCAGGAGGTGGCGTTCAGCTGCAGAGTTCACACACAACAGATACATAGGTCACACAATGGTGTTCATGACCAGCCTTTCATTGATTTACATATGATACTTTACAAGATACCTTTTGGATACATATTACAACTGTGTGATGTTGGAGGCAGTGAATGTCAGGCCAGATATCAGTTACAGTAGTGTGGGCCTTATGCCAGTGGGCATTGAGGGGCTCTTTGGGTCACAGGCAGCCAGGAGGGCAAACAAATCCCTGTCTTGCTGTTTTCACTGTTTAGAAGACTTTATTTGGGGGCATGTAAGTCTCAACAGATGTGAATGTGGTCAGGTTAAAAGGCATTGATGTGGCACTCTTGTCAAAATATGACACTTCAGTATTATTCAATTTTATTATCTTTCATTTGGAACCTGTAGCCTAAGTGAACTGACCTACTGCCTTTTGAGTATGTACAGGAAAGGAAGAAGAGTACAGAAAATAGTATCAGTTCAGGTACATATCCTGCACTGTACACGATATTCACCAGTGTGTGAGTCACTGTCGTTTTATGTGAATCATGTAGGCTTCAGTTAGCTTCTTTGTGTGGCAGGGTCTTCGGATATTTCTGACCAACAGTGTTTTTCTAATTCAGGACAGATAAAATCTCCTTTTGTAGTTTTTAAATAATAATAAAAAAAAAGTTGGCAGTATTCAAAGATAAATAACTGAAGTAAGCCTGTTCAGATAGCATGTAGTTTTACTAGACTAACACAGGTACCTTGACCTGTTCAGAAGAGACTTGTGAGAGGTGCACAAAAGGCCAAGTGCCCCTCCAGCAGCTTGCCCAGATGGGGAGAGGAAGGGGCGGGGCAAGAATGTAAGAGGCGGGACCAGAGCCTCTTCCAGCCACGCTGACTGGTGCAGTTCAGTTGCTGACTCGGAGAGCTCCTGGCACTGGCAGCAGCAGGCTGCCCCCGCCCGTGCTGAGCTTCTGGGGACAGTGGCTGAGCAAACCAGAGCACCCGCGCCTCTCCAGCATGCTCAGAGTTGGCTCCTGTCCTCAGAAGTCAAGCCTAGGCAGGGAGCAGGCTGCTCCTGCCTCTGCTCCCTGCCCAGGCTCAGGTTCCAGGGACAAGAGCCAACTCTAAGAGTGCCGATGGGGCGAGCGGGGCGGGGCTCCGACTTGCTCAGCCTCTGTCCCGGAAGCCAAGCCCAGCCACAGCCAGGCACTCTCCAAGGCAGCTACTGTGCTGCACTGGGCAGCATCTAGGAGTGCCTCCAGGGCCTGGCTACTAGGGGAGAGCCGGTGGAGCTTGGGAAAATTTTGGGGAGGCACCAGTCATCTATCAGTTTTGCTCTTGTGCTGCTTAGGAATGTTGTGACAAACACTGGAGCTCTTCACGGAGAAGGAAGCGAATGGTGGCCCAAAAATCATGGGTTGAAGAAGGGGTAGAACAGAGCTCTGCTCCCACAGTAGTCAGACTTTGATGTGGAGGGAGAAAGCTCTTCTTCCATTCTCAAAGCCAGAGGTGGGGAAGCTTCATACTGTAGAACTTCAGAGTTACGAACACCTTGGGAATGGAGGTTTGTCATAACTCTGAAATGTTTTTAACTCTGAACAAAATGTTATGGTTCTTCTTTCAAAAGTTTACAACTGAATGTTGACTTAATACGGTTTTAAACTTTACTATTCAGAATAAAAGTGTTGTTTTAACCATCTTAATTTAAATGAAACAAGGACAGTTTCCTTACCGTGTCAAATATTTTTTTAAACTTTCCCTTTATTTTAGTAGTTTACGTTTAACACAGTATTGTACTGTTTGCTTTTTTTTTGCCTCTGTTGCTGTCTGATTGTGTAATTCTGGTTCCAGATGATGTGTGTGGTTGATTGGTTGGTTCGTAACTTTGGTGTTCTTAACTCTACTGTACTTAGCCACTTACTAGCTTTAGGCAGAGAAGAAAGATGGATGTCATAAATATAAAGGGAAGGGTAACCACTTTTCTGTATACAGTGCTATAAAAGCCCTCCTGGCCAGAAGCAAAGTCCTTTTACCTGTAAAGGGTTAAGAAGCTCGGGTAACCTGGCTGGCACCTGACCCAAAATGACCAATGAGGGGACAAGATACTTTCAAATCTGGAGGGGGGGGAGAAGGCTTTTGTCTGTCTCTGTCACACAGATCAAGGATGCAAGCCCTCCAACTCCTGTAAAGTTAGTAAGTAAGCTAGCTAGAAAATGCGTTAGGGTTTCTTTGTTTTGGCTTGTAATGTAAATTCCCTGTGCTGGAGGAAATATGTATTCCTATTTTTGTGGTTTTTTGTAACTTAAGGTTTTGCCTAGAGGGTTTCTCTGTGTTTTGAATCTGACTGCCTGTAAGATTATCTTCTGTTCTGATCTTACAGAGGAGTTCTCTTTTTTTTTTTTTGTTCTTCTAATAAAGTTCTGTTTTTTAAGAATTTGATTGGGTTTTTTGCATCTTAAAAATCCAAGGCTGGTTTGTGCTCATCTTGTTTATTCTCAAGCCTCCCCAGGAAAGGTGGCGTAAGGGTTTGGGGGGATATTTTGGGGAAAATAGGAACTCCAAGTGGTCCTTTCCCTGATTGTTTGTTAAATCACTTGGTGGTGGCAGCGTTCTACCTAATCCAAGGGCAAAGACTTTTTGCCTTGGTGAAGTTTTTAACCTAAGCTGTTAGAAATAAGCTTAGGGAGTCTTTCATGCGGGTCCCCACATCTGTACCCTAGAATTCAGAGTGGGGAAGGAACCCTGACAGATCCTATGAGCAGGGCCAGGGAAAGCATTCTGGTAGAAATTCTGGTACCTGGGGAGGTGGGATTCTCGCCAAGACATCTCCCATAGACTTCACTGGCTCTCCCTCTCTTAACCTTTTGCATCTGTTTCCGGTAATAGGTTTAGTCCTATTGCCAGTAAGTGGTTCAAGCCCTGTCCATTGCCATCAGTTGCAAAACAAATCAGGTTGACACAAACATCCACTTGTTGAGGACTATGTACAGCTGGTATTTTGTTTATATGGATTTTTATTTCAGAGGCTTTTTTTCTGGATTTAATCTGATATTTTAAACTATTCACTTCTCGCCAGATAGATCTAGTGCAGTGGCTCTCAATCTATTCATCATTGTGGGCTTCATATGCGGCCTAAAATGTGTTACCTGGGCCAAAGGTTGAGAACCACAGTTTCCCTCCCAACCCCCCATGCCTATGCCCAGCGCCCCAGCCCCCACCCAGAGACCCCTCCACAGAGTCGGGTCAGGAGCAGACCCTGCTGCAGCTGAGGGCAGCCCCAGACCCCAGTGCAATGGCAAGACAGCCTGGCAACTCGGATCCCGCTGCTGGCCCCTGCGTCCTTTAGCATGCAGCTAGGCCGCAGCTGTGTGCTAATTGGGCTGCATACGGCCTGCACGTTGAGAGCCACTGGTCTAGTGAGATCATTTGAGATCAGAGGAGTCTCTGATAAGCGAAAGTCTTGCCCCACAGAAGGTTTCTATATTTGTGGAGCTATGGAGAGATATGCTGATGATGATCCATGTTTATATTGTATTCTGAGGTCCTAGAATACAAATCGCTTTCCACCTTGCTAAAGCTTAAGTATTGGTGTGTTTTCCATTCAGAATGATTCAAAAAGCTTGTTAGCCAGTTACCCTTTAGTTCCAGTAGATGAGCTAATGTAGAAGAATATCTGTATTTCAGCATAAATGTGGTTGCATTGTGGCATCAGGCAAAGGAGTTGGCTGTCTCTCTCTTTGAGGATGTGAAAAGTAAAAGTTTAGAAGAAACAGACACTTAGCCTCTTGAAATGTAATTTCACCTCGTTCAGAGGGAGGGGAAGCCAATCAGGATTAACGTACAGGATTTGGATTTGCAGT